AAAACCTTGCCACGCAAACCCAACACAGGGGCAAAATTCTTCCTGTTCTGATTTACTTTATCTTTCTGCCTGTATGTCTGTTGTAATTCTGCGTGAGTAGTTGTGGACGCAGAAAAGCTCAGCTGTCAGTTCTCAAATGGAAAGAGTTGTGGCCGTTGTGTTCTGTTTCTCCCTTCCACCCTGCCTTTCAGCAGATTGAACAAAGCTTTAATAAGCTGCTTGCCACCCAAATTTGCCCCTGGATATGTTGGAGAGGAGATAGGACCAAACATGACTTCCAGAAAGAAGCTGTGGTTTCTAACAGGCATGACTGAATGGCCTGCAGATGAAAGGTGCATCTATTCCTCTGTGCCAGGGTGTGAGAATTTCTGTTTGCCAGAACACTCTACCTGAACCCTTGAACCAAAGCTATTCTCACCTTTTATTTGTATTCTTCTGCAATTCTAAATTCCTGCTCAGGTCTCTGAATGGGCTGGTGGCTTCCGCCCTGCCAGGAGAAGAGACTGTTCCCACTGTGTAGTCGCACAACTTCTAGCTGAGAGAAAACCTGGGCTGTAACTACTGCTTTCCTACGCCTCCCAGCCTGGTGGATTTAGAAGCAATTATCATGTTTTCTGGAGCTGGTAGTAAGGTGAAATAAAAAGCAGTTAGCTGCAATGGGGAGGAGTCCATTTCTTCCTTTATTTAACCTTGGGAGAAGGAGGCTGTGAGACTGTTGTCCTACATAAAGCATTGCCAAACTTTACAGAGGTTATACAAGGTCTGTTGTTTTCTTCTGCTAGGCCCTGGTGACTGCACAGATGAACCCTGTGATGCCTTTGTGGTGGAAGAGACTGAGAAAGGCTTCCAGTGCAGAGCCGAGGTTCCCAGCCCCTTATACAAGTGAGCCTATGTGTTTCTGGTTTGAATTGCTGCTGGGAAGCGGTTGAGCGCAGATTTTTTTTTTTTGATTTTTTTTTTTTTTTTTAGGTCAGGGTAAGCATTGGATCTCTGAAATGTATTCCGTTTTGTGGATGTGGATTTTAGCGTTCGGGAGGGGAAAATTGGCAATGCCTTTCTAGTGCAGTTGTGCCACGCTTGACTCCTAGCCTTCCCTGTGACAGAGACAGCAGGTGGTGCTTTCTTGCTGGCAGGAGAGGTTTTGAGCATCTCTTCCCTTGAACATAAAAGCATCGGGGAGGGTGGGAGAAGGGGAGGAAGAACTGGGGCGAGCAGCCTGGCAGGGGGAGTTTGTGAAGGCTTTGAGAGAAAGCACACAGGACTGGAATTGACTATTGACTCGAATCTGGTGTTTACTGGGAAGCCTGTAGCATTCAAAGCTTTATGTAGTTATTTTTGACAGTTTTATCGGTTGAATGGTTTTACTGAAGTGTAGAGAAGGAAAAGTGTTCTGTTGTGCATTTGAATGCTGGCAAGTGACTACCTTGAGAAAAGCGAAAAGCAAAAAGCAAAAAAAGAGCCCTTAGTTCTTTGTCAGCTGGGGTAACGGGGAAAAAGGGGTAACCCAGCTGACGAATAAGTTGTGGCAGGATGTCCTGGGCAGAGCTGTCACGAACCAACTGACTTGTTTTAGCTTAAGCCATTTGTGAGCCACAGCTCAACATCATCCCGTGGTCCCGGGCTGGTCACGCGTTGAGTCCTGGGAGTAGCCGCTGTGCCCAGACTGGGTCCTGTCCGTGGAGCTGAGTGCGTGCATCTCTCGAACAGGGAGCTACCGAGTTTGGGGGGACCCAGGTGCCTGGAGCCAACTCAGAGCTTGGTTCATCCGTAGCGTGATTAATCTGCTGGCTGTACGCGCTTGATGGAGGCGGCCCAGCGACACGGTGTGAGTGACTCTTGCACTTGTATGCCTTCAGGTACATCATTGGGAAGAAAGGGGAAACCAAGAAGAGACTAGAAACAGAGACTCGAACCTCCATCAGCATTCCCAAGCCTGGAGTGGAAGGAGAAATTGGTGAGTTTAACGTGCACAAAACGGGTGTTCTCTCATCGGCTCTTACACAGACACGATTTGAGTGGGGAGAGGATATAGGAGGTGTTTTTCCTTTAATTCTTGCTTCTGACATGGCACTGACTCACTTTATGGCCTTGGGAAAATCACTTTGCTTTTCTCCCGAGTATATTTTTTCTGTCTGTAAATCCTTATAAAGCTGTCTAAGGTTTTTTGGGGAAAAAAAATAAATCTATTTTAAGCCTATGAATAGTCTCACTGAAGTCACTTCTGGGCCTTACATGACTGGCTTGAGAACTTTGGGCCTGAATGTGTTGGATTTTTTTGTTTTGTTTTTAAAATAATACTATTTCCATTAATAAGAAACTGTAATATACATCCATAAAAAGTTACCGTGTTGTATATTTATGAACCAAATAAACTTCAGCATCTGCTATAGTATGAGAAGTGTTTTGATGATGTTGCTTCCTTTCTGGTGGTGTCACTTGATCCTGATGGTGAGAGCAGGCTTTCTTGTACCGTATGTTTCTTCTCATCGCTTCCAGTGACTTAAAAAGAAAGGAGGCGTTGCTCATAAGGGCTGGCCCGTGCGGGTTTCTGCCTGAGTGGATATCTGGAGGGCCCCTTACACGTGCTCTGGTGACAACTGGCACGGTGCACAGTTACGTTTGTGACAGAGCCGTGAGGAGTAAGTGACGGGAGGATCCAGCTGTGGTGCTGCACAAGAACGTGGCAGTACTTTGCAAGAAGTGGGTCTTGACTCCTTCCTGAGAACCGTGAAGGACTGTTAGGAAGGTTGAGAGATGTTGAAAACATGTAATAATAGGAAGCCAAGAAAACTTTGCTCCTTGCAGTTCTTTCCTTTCAAGCTCAAGTGTTCTCTGTTTGGTGCCTTGAAGTGCATGCACAAATGATATAGGCCATCTTGATCTTTGATAGATTTTCTTTTCTTTTTCGCTTTGACTGCCTTTTATGAAAACTTGAAATAATGCTCTAGAAATCTGAAGAGCCGCTGAAAGGATAGACTCTTAGTTATTGTTTTTTAGGCACTCAGAGCTGACTTTCTTGAGAGCAGAGGGATGCTTTTGATGGCATCACGCTGTCCTTACAGAGGAAAGCACAGCCGTATCAGGCATTTTAAGTCAAGTGAGGAGTATGGCAAGATTTCTCTGTGCATGGTTCGGGGTTTTAATTCTTAATACTTCTTCAGTGAGCCTGGGGCTAACAGTAGAGAGGTGCTGGTGTGGAGGTTTTTCTAATTCCCTCCTGGCATCTCCTGGGTGAAATAATATCCTCCAATAGTGATATTTTAAAGTGCACGGATAAGTATCGTGTAAAACCACGATCCATTTAATTGCTCTTTATTTTGTATTGGTGTCAGCAGTCTCACTGTAGCTTCATGGAATACCAGACAGGTATTGCTTTGTGTTCTTGTAGTGATTACAGGGCAGCATCGCAGCAGTGTCATCTCCGCCCGAACGCGGATCGACGTTCTTCTGGACAGCTTCCGTAAGAAGCAGCCCTTCACACACTTCCTGTCCTTTGCTCTCAACCAGCCCGCCATCCAGGAGAAGTTCCTGCAGTTCAAGGAGGAAGTGTTGGAGAAATGCTCAAAGGTAAGGATCCATGTGAGAATTAAAATCAAGTGGAAGCCCTTTAGCAGAATGCCATTATATTTCTTGAGAGAGCTTTTTGGAGTTTACCTTGAAGGCCTTATTCTGTCCTGTTTCCTAGGAATGTATTTAACAGGCCTTTTACTTAAGTTGGCAGATCTCTGTGAATTTGTTGAGTGCTGTTGTGAAATCTCCTGGAATGTGGAATGGCTTACTTAATAAATTGTTAGTAAAATATTTTGTTCTCCTTAGAGATTTTCCTAGGTGGGAGGATATCTAAGATTCAAAAGAGGGTTGGTTTGTTGTTGGTTTGGGTTTTTTTTGGGGGGGGAGGGGGGTGGGGGGTGTTTTTAATAGGAAAGCCACTAAATAATGTAGCACACCTTTCTATATTTCATATGATTTCTACATAACCATGAAACCAGGTAGGAATTCACAAGTTTGCTGCTGCTTCTATTTCACTTTTTCTTTGGTTCCTGACAGTGAAGGAAGATGGGTGTCATTACTGGAGCTAAGCAAGAAATGACTTGGTAGCACATGCCATCCTGCAAATCTAATCGCTTCCCTTCTTCCCCATGAGACTTTGTGCTGACAGTCCCTCCTACTTGCCTTCAGATCTTACATGGAGAGCAGCAGGAAAGAGTTAGGCATAGGGAAATGAGGAACAGAATGAAGTGAAAGCTGTCTATTCCCTGGTTTATTTTAGCTTGCTTCTAGTTTGGCAGAAGTGGTGTGTCGGTGCACAGGGCCAGGCTGAGGAGAGGGAATGATATTATTAAATTGCCATGTCCTCTGAGTGCTGGGAGGACATCTCTAGGCAAGAGAGAAGAGTTCCTCTTCGTGGCTGCCGCAGGTTAGATTGCATACGCGCAGCAGGTCGTTGTGGGCTGATGATATTACCTTCATGTCCGTCACTTCTGCTTGTGCCTTTCGAAGGGGAAAATATAATCTTGCAGATAGCACAGGTTGAGGTTTAGTTTCCCTATGTCTTCATGCTGTGCGTGGGAATTATCTGATATCTGGAGAGATGGGAGTTCTTGCTCAAGTTTTCATGGTCGCTTGCATGTCAGTTGTCTCATCTCCAAGAGCAGAACTCAGCTGGCTTTGCAGTCTTGTCTTTCCTGGCAGTTCTGATTTAAGTCCCTCTTCTCTGCCCAGCTGCCTATTTCCATGACACCTTAGGAGCTTTCTATCACTCAGGTTTCCACCTGATCTTAAATACAACTGAAACTGGCCAATAGATCCAGGGATTAGCAACCAGTGCAACGCCGTGAGCGCTCTTTCCTCGGGCTAGGAGGATATCACTGGCTCGATCGTCTATCCCCGTTAGCCAGCAGCAGCTACCTTTATTAAAGCTTACCTTTATTAAAGGAAAGCCCTGGAGACAGGGGAATGGAAACAGCCTGAGAAAGTGTTAGCGGGACAGAGAGTGTAGGACCTTGGGCTGGCATCAGTGGTGGCCTGGCTCCCTCTGTTGGTTTCTAGTTCTGGTCCGTGTGGGGACACATGCCAAAGTTACAGGGAGAGAAGCAGCTCTTTGAGGGGCCGGTAACTTCAGCACAGGGGCTCTGATAGTGGCTGTTCAGACTGTTGGCCCTGGTCTGAGACCACTGCTTTCAGTCTGGTGTTTCTCTTGCCCTTTATCCCTTTCTCCCTGGGCTTATGGCTGTTACAGTCCTTTCACTTGATCTCTTTCAACCTGCCAGTCCTTTCAGACATGGCTGGCCATGCTCTGCTTGCAGGCTTGTTGTCCTGGACTCCATTTATCTGATCTTCCTCCTCCCTCTAGCTGTCTGCCAGCAGGTCCTGCGGATCTCTCTTGTCCCTCCCCGTGGACAGCAAACCCAGATCTGCCTGCTGCACAGGGTAGTAACCTCAGTGTCATCTTGTACATCTTGCTGGATTCTGGCTTCCAGGCTGCTTCAGTGTCAGGTGAATCCTTTCAGTGTCACATCTCTAAGATGTCGCCTCTTTTATTCATCTTTGCGGCTAATGCTGTCATCCGTGCTCTCATCTTGTGTTTTTATTCGTGCAACGCACTGACCTCGCACAGGACTAGGTCTTCTCCTTGCAGAGCACTGATTTTTCCTGCCTGCTGGTTTGATTGCATCTCTGCGACCCTCCGTTGGCTCAGCCTTGGCTGGTGATTTTACTTGCTCTCCTGACCCCTCCTGATTTGTCTCTGTCACATTGTCTCTTGCTCACACTTAAATATCCGTTTGCATCCCCGAGTAAGCAGGGAGGTCTGCCATCCACTTGGAAACGTAAATCTATCCTGGTGCTTTCCTTAGTGATGTCAGTCACATTCAGAAGGAGCTGCCTGGGAACATCCACAAACGTTTGTGTACTCCTTATCCTGGACAGTTGCAGAAACCCAAACTTGGTCAGAGGAGTGCCGAGACCACTGCTGACCAGGCTCATCATGCTAATTTTTCCTCCTCTTGCCTGACCTTTTGTCTTTCCTTCAGTCTTTTTGTTCCATTTCTGCATGGTGCTGAGTCCTGTAAGTCTCTGCTTCGTGGTTAGGGATCCTGCAGCGTGGGTGTGCACATGGGAACACATTTCAGCCTAACAACGACTTCTGGCTTTCAGTAACCTCGAACTTGAACTGTACTCAAAACCAGCACCCAGGCTTGAATCCTCCTAATACCAGTAATGGTAATATCTCCGAGGGAGTGCAGCGCTCATGACCTAGCGTGCCTTTTGCTGCCACCGAGTCATCAAGGTGCTTTTGGGAATCTCCCAAAACAGTGGCAGCTGAAGCTGCCCCACAGCAGGACACGTCGATATGGGTGGAGGTGTGGGGCTGCAGTTCTGCTCTCCACGCTGTGTGGGTACAAGGTGCCCTGGGCTGGAAGCTACGGGGTCATGTTAGCACTAGTTGGTACACTGTGCCTCTCAGGAGGGCCTGAAGTGTTCCTGGTACTGCTTACATCAGCACTAGGGTTTCCATTTTTAGTTTGAAATGTAGAATTCGGTCAGTAGCAGGTATTTGGGGGTTTGCATATGTTAGCCTAGGAATATATGGTGCTTTATTTTTCTGCCCTTCCTTCTGGTATTAGCAAAAGGGTTTCTAGATATATTGCTGCCTGTTAGTTCAAGGAGTATATTGCAGCCCTGTATGTCTCTCAATCACTCCACCAGCCGGTAATGCCACTCTAATACCACTTTATCTCACAGCAGGGTCTGCTAGAAACCACATCAGTAATGAAAAACAGTAATTCAAAACTGTGCCTCGCAGAGCAATAAGAGAGCTTATAGATTTGTCCAAAGCAACGGGATTTCTCAGAATACTTGGAGAAATCTGAATAGGTTTCAGTGACAGAAGCAGTGCGCTTCTCTTTGTGTTGCAGTTTGCTGGTGCGAAACGTTGCAGAATTAGGTAAACTCAGGTTTTTGAATGAAGCTCGGTAGTAACGGTAAGGAAGGGAAAGGACCAGGTGTGCGTGTGTGAGGTTTTCTTCTGGCCATTGAGCATTTGTGAGGGGGACTATTTCTCTCTGAAGCAGTTACCATGACAACCATTCATTTATATTTTATTGCATAGGGTTACATTGGTGGCTATATGCTTTCTAACTTTGTGTGTGTGTCTGTGCGTCTTTAAGACCTTTTATAAGATGAACCTTGCGTTGAAATATGGAACACTTCAGGTGTCATTCATGCTATTTTATGGTCAGAGCTGCCAGGCAATGAAGCAGGGCCGAGGGGAGGCTCTTTTGAGGCTAATTTAATATAAATACGGGGAGGTGGCTCACCTGGACAGGCTCATTACTGATGTGGTGCAGTGGGAGGTCCAGATGACTGCATGACCTTGGAATTCTCCTTGCGCAGTCATGTAGGTGTCAGAGTGAGGAGAACCGAAACGTCTGTCTGAGTATGCAGGTGGAAAAGGGAAGAGACTTTGCAGTAATATTGCCGTGAAAAATCACAGTTGGGTCTTTCAGAGCTGTGCAAATGCAGCATTTGCAGTCTTAACAGGCTGCAGATGTAGCACAGAAAAGAAATATGATTGCTGTAATATATGGCAACCTGTAAATATCAGACATTGGTAATGAGATATTATATCTTGGAGTGGAAGGGACAGAAAATGGGCAGGGTTTTTCAGCCTGCAGCTCTTCAGTCAGTTCTGAGGAAATGCTGTTTTTTCTGGCTTGCTCCTTTGTTTGTGGATCAGGGTGGGAGAGGGCATATAGCTGGCATGCAGTATCCTGCTATTAAGGAAAAAAACCAGAAACATAAAGCTGTCTGCAAACATTGGAAGCTCTTAAGGCAGTAGAGAGGACACAACCGGGGAGGAAGAGCCAAGGAGTTTGATCCTTTGCCTTGTCACGTAGAAGGCCTGAAGTGTGTTGTGGTCTGTGGTTTCCTTGCTATAAGGCCTTAGACTTGGAGGAACAATGTGCTTGGGTTTTGCAGAGATGTGAAGACTCCACATAAAACCCTTTATGTTGTTCCTTCTAAAGGAGGAGAGCAAAGGTAGAAGTCTTAAGTAGCAGCAGGGAGGAAAAAATGAATTTTTAAGGCTGAGTGGAAACGAGTTGTTATTTTTATTTTTTTTTGACCCTGACAGGGCAGTATCAGGGAGAGGCATAAGGTAAGATGGACAGTCATCACATACGGATGGTGCATAAAGGGGCTGTTCTTCCTGCCTCTCAGTACATCCTTAGAGAACCCAGGTTCAAACGGTAAATGTTTAGAGAGGTGATAGAGTCTGTTTTACGTGTTTGTATCTGCCAGCGAGTTCCTGCAAATATGCCGCTTTCAGCTTCCCCTGTAGAATACGGGGATTCCCTGCTGTGACACCTCACCTCCCCTAATCTGGTGCTCTGCTTTCATTAGGGCTGGAAGCCACCGCTTGCCACAAGCCACTGTGACTTGTGCTATGAGGAGTCCCCACTGCACGGGGGAGGAAACCGGTGAAAGAGGAGCTTGTCGCTGAGAGAGGAGCTCGGAGAGGGTGGCTTAGATCCTGACGGATCCCTCTGCCCGTCTCTGATGCTGAATCTCACTGCTCGCTCCTGCTTTTATGGTTGTAGCTTACCCTGAGAGGGATCCTTAGGTATTTGGAAGATGTCCGTAAAGCCCCAAAAATCACAACGTTGACAGGATCACATCTCTTGGGCTCATCCTCCTTGGAGAGGATGTGATACTTTTCTTTAGCAGTAGTTCTGAACGTGTATTTCTAGGCTCTGTGTTGCTGTTGTCTGGCCCTGCTGGTCAGGTTGCAGAGGACTGATAGCACTGGACAGGGCGACTTCCCATGAGGCGACACAGCAGTTGCTGATAGCATATGGGAATCTGGCATCAAAATGAGCGGGTTCAAGCTTTTTTGCGTCTTGGCGAGCAGCATCCAGCTGTGAAGGGCTGTTAAGATGCCTGCAGAAACATTGCCTGTTCCAGGGAGAGCTTCCTCTGACGTAGCATCTATTTTATGTGTGGGAGAAGCGGGATCTGCCGGCCTGTGAAAGAGTAGGGGTGCAAGCAGGGTTTTTAGGAGCTCTCTGAAATACTAGGGAGTAAACCAGGAAGATTATCTAGGTCTTGGCCCGCTCAGTGTGCACTGCTCTTCCCTGCTAATCTCCCCAGCAGCGGTAGCATGGCTTGTGGAGGTGACGTGCCATCACTTTGTCAGCTACCAGCCCACACTCAGGTGTTTGAAAGCTCAGGGGGAAACGCTGCTTTTGGGGAAGGTTGATGTTTACAGTACAAACTGTGCTGGGGCAGAAAATGAGGGTAGGGCTTTTTCTTTCTGACCTGCAAACTACTTTCTCGTTACTGTACATCATCTGTGCGTACTGTGGGAGTGAAATCAGCTGGTTGTCCATGGCAAGGATAAAGTGAACTTTCTCCCAGTTTCTGTTACCCGAGCTCTTGTTTTGTGATGGGCCAAATATCCTCTGGCTACAGATACCATTGGAGAAAAAAGGCTGACGGGGAGAAATCATGTCTTGTCATGCATGTTAATAGCAGTGTGAATTAAAGAAAGCCGAAAGGCTTTTATGGCAGAGAGGAAAGTGGGAAGTGAGATGGAGCCATCCCTCTTTCCTCCGCTCCTGATGTACCTGATGTAGTTAGTCTGTGCTTCTTTCACGCTGTTGTGCGATTTGCAGCCCGCTTTGCCACTGCTAGCACGATACGGTTTGGGGTTTCAGTCAGCAAAAAAGTAATTAGGAGCAGTGGAAGGTATGTATGTGCTCTCTGTCTTCTGGGGACTACCTCGCTTTGCCAGCCTGCAGCTGCTGGAGCAAGCCCCCAGCCTCCGTGTTGCAGACTGGCTCGTCTCTAGTCCGGCCTATAAGTACCACTGTAAAGAAGAGTATGGATGCTGTCATTAGACAGGAGAAATGCTGAGTGGGATGTGGGGCATTAAGCTGTGGCGGGCTGAGATACTGCAGTGTTTAAACCTCTGAAAGGTTTTATTTCAAACTCTGAAGCACAACTAGAAGCTTCAAAGCTGTCAGTGGGTGGACTTTTTTTTCAGACAGAGGAAGATTTCGGTGGCCTGGCAAGTGGTGTTGGCTTCTTCTGCAGTTAAAAGTGGAGGTTGTTTAATGTGCTGGTGGGAAATGGCCACTAAGTGGAAATAGTTGTTTTAATATGGGTGTGTTAACCATCCTCAAGGTATTTTTATAAATATCCTAGAACAAAAGAGCGTGTCTTTTAAATGAATGTAAGCACTGCTCCACCTGGGAACAGTTCTTCCCCAGCAACAACACGTAACTCTTATTATAAAGGGAATTTAAACTTAATTCATCTCGGCAAACTATAGGGCGCATGGGAACGAGAAAAAAGTAATTATCAGAGCTGGTATTAGCTGTGCTTGTGTTGTGAGGTGCAACCTGTGTTTAGACAGGATTTAGAGACCATTTAGAGCTTGTCGCTACAGCTGGTTCCAGCTTTATTGCACAAAAAATGGACTTAAGTTTTAAATCTGTGCTGACTTGTGCTGAGTTCATTGCTGATGGCAGCTGCCGCCTTGACAGCTGTGGAAATCTCCTCTCAAAATCCCGTTCGAGTGAGTGCTCCTCTTCCTGGGTCCTGAGTTAGAACCTGTTGTAACGAGCTTCCAGGCTGCCGTTTGGCAACTGCGATGAAAAGGCAGGCAGGGGAGCGTGCGTGCAGTTGGGAGCTGCACCTCACCTGCCAGGCTGAGCTCGCTTGCTCGAAAACCTGTGAAATCTTGTTACTCATCTCAACTTCGAGTCACTACCAACCCGACTAGTGATGCAGAGATAAAAGGTTTGATGCCAGTGGCTTGGTACCTGTTCTCTGTAGTATTTATCCCTCTGATGGAGGGGGGTGTGTGTGCCTATGAGATAAGATGCCTATGTATGATTGATTTGTAGGATCACGGGGTCAGCAGCAGCCTGTTCCAGAACCCTGCAAAGCTTCACCTGACTCTTGGGACGCTGGTACTTCTGAACGAGCAAGAGATCCGGAAAGCGTGTGACCTCTTACAGCGATGCAAAGAGGACTTTGTGGAGTAAGTGATAAAAAAAAGGGATGTCATCACCAAGGGCATGAGTAGGGGAAAGCAGCGAGCTGTCTTTTGACTAAGGACAGTGAAGAGAAAAGCAGCTCAATAGTCTATTTCAACTCTAGAAATTTAGAAAAAGGCTGAAACGTTTCAAATAGGAGCAGAAGAAATCACCAAGCAGTCACAAAGAGTCTGACAGCGTTGTGCAGCTCAGCTCAAACCCTCAGCATTCCCTGAAAAACTGCTCTACTCACTTCTTTTTTCTCACATGCCTCCCCGTTATTTTTGTGTGAGCAGTTTTTGCTGTTGTCCCCTGCCTGCTGCAGAGGGAGGGACGAGCTCCATTACCTTTGTGCGTTGCCTGCAGTCGTCTCTGGCAGGCTGCTTCCCTCCTGCCTCAGAGCAGATGCTGAGGTGTCCTTGACACGCATTTCTTGATGCGGGGAGCTGCGCGCAGGGAAACCAGCATGAGCCGTGCGAGTAATCGGTCTGAGGCATTCAACCCTGCTCCAGGACTGGGGCTTTTTCTCGCTGCCTGTTAACACAGAGTTGCAGATGTTAGGGCTTTAACTGTAAATGGGGTTGAATGACACTGTAATTAGCTTATCTTTGTGCAGCTTAGAAATTGGAGATGGCCTGAGGGATTGTTTTATTTATTTATTTCTGCAAAGCCTTTGCACATAGAGCATGGGTCCTTGATATTAATTAGTTCATTTATTTATTTATAAATGAAGAATTAGCCATGCCATGCCAGCTAATATCTGTAGGAATTAATGTGTGGCCAAAATTCATACCTCTGCCTTTAAAATGACAGCTACAGTTGTTCAGCTGTTGAACAGAAATACAAGCGTGTTTCCAGGGGAAGGCTCTGCCCACAGTACTTGGAAAGTGCCAGCTTCCTCATCAGTGGATTGCACTGAGGCAGAGAAAAACCTTTACTCTCCATTTCCTTTAGTGGAGGGGGAATTGACACTTGAATGTAACCTTTAGGTTATTTCCCCTGCCACACCCAAATAAATATACTTTGAAAATTAATTTAGGCTTCCTTCCACCCATAGAAACCTTCATTAGCATTCATTTACTTTTCTAAACAGTGCCATATGAAGGTAGATGTGCCCTTTTTGCCCCTTTTTAGAATATACGGCCTCAAGTGCTCTCGGTCTCACATGCAGACAGTGCCCTTGTGCTGTTTTCCTCCCAGTAAACATACTGGAAGGGGAAATGACGCTCTCCTTATTCCACCTGGAAAGCTTTGCCGAGGATCTCAAAGGCGGTCTCTTGGGTGAGCTGAACAGAAGCGAGCAAGGTTAAAGCAAAGTCACACTCACGTTGTTAACTCGTGTGTGTTACTTCTGCCTGCCCAGACGCTCCCTGTACTTTCCACGAGACTTCGGCATTAAATGAGACAACGGCACTGAACTCACAGGGAGCTTTCGCTGCGGCGCCCTGCCTCCCCGCGATGTTCTGGTGGTAAAGGCAAGGAGGCGGCGTGTTTGGAAGCAGATACGCTTTGCAGTGTGTTTGCAGGTGTGGGAGTGCATATTATATCCTGCACGCATTTTCGCCTTCCTGCAAGAGTAGCTGGAGCTGGTTTTAAAACAGCTCTATTTACTTCCAGCATTTGTAAGTGGATGTTGAAATGTACTTAAAATGGCATTCTGTATCAAGTATTTTTCCCAGGGAAAAATCAACGAGCTAGAGACTTTGTGTCACGATCCCTCTCTTCGCAGGGAAGGCAGGAGCTTCTCTGGAATGAGAAGTTGCACCATTTTATTGCCGATGGGTTTTCTGAAATGTAAATGGAGATCTCTGTGTGGAGATGGCCTGTGACCACTGACAACCTGACTTAACGTGTGTCTAAAACACTGAACGTGTGAGCTTAAATGTTTTTACAGGATTTCTTGAGATGAGGAGACAATAGCGGCTGCAGCCTTTCGAGCTTTAGAACTTAGGGAGCCTTTTTTGTCTTTGGGTTTTTGCAGTGCAAACAACTTGAAAGATACGGGAAAGAGAACTCCTCAGTGGAGTTCACTGCCCCGTACGGTCTGTATAACATTTAAGTCCTGCTTAACTTCAAATTTGTGTTTAACTATAGCAAAAAATGTGTTTTATGTCATTCCCTTAGTAAAACCAAATATTTAGTGTGTGCTTGACGAGTACCACGGATTGTATTTCAAAAGCAGATGTGATGTTTTGCTTTTTAACGTAAGGGACTTCTTACATTTTAGCCAAATAGCTGGAGGCAAGCCCCTGACCGTGGAGGTGGCAGGAGTGGAGTATATGAACGATGACCCTGCCATGACGGACGTCCTTTACGCCAAAGTCCACATGAAGGATGGCTCAGACAAGTGAGTTCCCCGCGCTCCTTCCTTTCCTTCCTCCTTGATGTGCCACAGCAGCAGTAGCAGTGTACCAGAGAAACCCTCTGCCGTCTGAAGCTGGTGGGTACTGCTAGCAGTCCTTGGGCCAGCAGTCAGGAAGATGAAGTCATTCTTGCTTCCTAAACCGGTTAAGGCGGTGTGATGTGTTTGCTCTTTAAATCAGTCACTGGTGGTACGGCTGAAAGATGTCATTTGTTTCTGTAGCAGTCTGTCAGATTGAATAATGGTGTCACGGCTCGCACGATGATAAGATGGCCAAGGAGATACTCCTGAGATGACTTAGAAGGCAGGACAACTTGGCCTCTGCTGTCTAGTTCCCAACCTGCCATCCAGATTAATCTGGACAGCCTGGAAATTCTGCAGCACTTAATTATTTTTAAAACCCAGTTACACCAGAAGGTCCTCAGAGAAGCATGACTTGGTTGCAGAGTTGGGTTTTGTGTCAGTAAGCAGCCTGGAACAGGCACTGGGTGTGAAATGTCTGTCTTCTGAGCCGCTGATGTGAAATCTTGAAGCCTGGTTGTCAGTGTGCGTCCACGCATGGTGTTCGCCACTGTGGCTCATGGCTTTAGGTCTACAAACAGCGCTGTCCAGGATGTGGCGGTGCCTTGACAACCTTCCTCCATCTCACTTTTGACAAGTACGTCACCAGTGGCAGCACCGTCTTTTCTCTTAGAAGACTGGGGAAACGTAAGAGCTGTTGTACTCTGTGCGTCCAGTTGTGAGATGGGTGCCGCAGGGGGTAGTGGAGTCACTAAAAGAGCTTTAACCTTCTCTCCATAAGCCTTAGCCTTCTCTTTTTCTGGCAGCACTGCCCTTTTGTGTCTGTTCCCGTTGCTAGAGGACAGCAGGAGCTAGCAGGGGAGCACGGAGCAGTGCAGCTGGAGGAGGGAGGCTGTGAGCGGCGCCTGGCTCAGGGAAGAAAGGACATGTTCTGGCATATCCTTTCCCCAAGGGCTGAGGAGACAAGGAGGGCCCTCTGCTTAAAACTGCACTTTGGAGGCTGTGTTGAAGTAAGAGATCGGAAGCGCGATAAGGAAATGGGTGGGAAAATGAAAATGTAAGAATTGCTGGGAGGCAGTAGGAATGGAAATCTTTTCCTCTTCTCAGCTGTTCCACTTTGAAGTCTGTCCTACCCTGAAAGAGGTGAGATAAAACAAACGGGGTGGGTGGAGAACCAGGACAAGCTTGAGATCAGCCAGGAGACCGAAGAGAAGTGCAGGGCCAAACAAGGCAGAAGCACTCAGAGAGACAAGACGGGGGCAGACGGTGGGCGACCCAAATGCCCTTCAGTGGGTTTGTTGTAGAAAAAGAGCTGAAATATGGGTGTCTCTTCTCCTGAGTCACCGAGCTCTGGATCATCTCTGAGGTATGGTGCTTGGAAGTCTGCTTGCACCTGAAAATAAGTCTGAAACCTGAGGAACTTGTAGAGAAATGCTGTAGAGCGTAAGTAGGACCTGAAGTCAGGCAGTGATGTCTGCCTGCGTCTGGGGACAGCTGGAGTTGTTGGTACTGGCACTGTGGTCTGCTTCAGATGCCAGCCGTATCCGTATTGCTGAGAGCTCACTTAGCCATAATGCTAGCAGAAAATGCTGATGTGCATTAGAGATAGCAGAGCTGATTTTGGCAGGGGAGAGAAATGAGCTCTTCAAATCCACCTTGCCTTGAAACTGAAAACACCACCTACCCACGCTCCCCCCCCGCAAGAACAGGCTGGTGTCTCCTCTGTCCTTCACAGAGATCTTTTAACTGAGGTTATGAGCAAACCCAGATCTTGTGCTTTGCATGGCACCGGGAGGCTGCCAAGACTTCTCTTCCACAACACTTGTTTTTTTTGCTTTTTGCATGGCAGCATGGTCAGAGAGGGCCAAGCAATTTTAAGTTTTTATCCTTGGCCCAGGCCAGTCCTGCCCTCACCTGCGAATTAATTCATCTGGCATTTCTCCCCTAAAATAGTTCCCTAACTGTTAGCAAGCATCCATAAAACATTTAGCTCTGCAGAGGGGAAAAGACATTCTTGTGTGAATGGAGAGCAGCGAAAGCTTCTTTTGCTTCCTTTGAGATTCCAGCAGGCGCAACATTGGACAAATGGTGATTATAAAGAAGGGACAAATGATGATCCCTCCAGAAAACTCTGCTTCGTTTTCTGGTCTGCTAGCCAGATCGTTGCTGAGCAGCTCCACGCACCTCTTGCCTGCTAAAGCCTGCTGTGCTTTGCTCAGGGAAATGGGGAAAGCAGGTAGAAAGCAGAGTTTCTCGGCTGCAAAGCCAATACTAGAGGAGAGCGGCAGCCACGTGGTTTGCTGTGCTGGATCTGACTGCTGCAGCCCACATTTAAGAGAGGTGTGTGCCTTCCTGTCTCATGCAAGATGTCTTGCTAGCTCTGTGTGGCTCCTGGCATGGCTGAGGGGTGGAGTTCCTTCCTGATCTTTGGATGATCTTGATCAGCTTAAGTTATAAAGCAGGAGATTTGATTTACCCTGACTTAGCTTGCATAACTGCAGATGGAATTAGGGTTGGCAAGCCCTTCTGCACATATAATGGCTCAGACTGAGAGAGGGATCATGCTCTGATGCCTCCCACGTGGCAAATAATTTCCATTATAATTCATTCTAATTTGTTTTATTTCCTTGATTAACTTTATAACGTAATAAAGCACCATTTTCACTTGAGCTATTCTCCGTTAATTTGTTCTAGTATTGTCTGTAATGATACTCATTTAATCTTTGTCATTGCTAATTTTAAAAATCACTGATGTAAAGCCAGAAAGTGGTAGAAAACCATGACAATTGGTAGTTTGAGAGTCTTGAAATCGTCACGTGGTGGCTGGCAGCCTGTGAGGGGCAGTACAAAGCTGGTGGTGGGGTAGGAGCTGGCATCCGGAGTGTGGCAGCCCCGGGCTCTGGGGCCCAGCCTCAGAGAGGCCGCGCTCTGCCTCTCCCACTGCAGCTGAGATGCCGAAGTGGTGTGAGGTGGTGGAGCAGAGAGCTGTCTGACTCCTCGGATGTGATGAGAGAAGCCCAAATTCTTCTGCATAGACTAATATGTTCTTGCCTTGGTTTTGAGGCTCGGGAGCTCTTGTTCTAGTGCATCCTTGCTGCTTTTGGTAAGGCTGGGGCACTGCAGAAATTTTGTAGGGGACAGCTCGGAAGCTCCTTCAGCTCTTCAGATGTAGGATACGTGAGCGCACTGCTCCCATCACCTGCCTGCTCCTGCTGTCTATCCTAGGACACGTCTGCCTGCAGATCCCAGCAGCCATGGCCGCTTTCATCCCTGACCGAGGCCAGACAAGAAGGTGGCAATAAGTCAAGTCCTTTGATTCTGCTTGCTCGGTAGCTCCAAAGCTGGAGCATTCACCAGGATGCTGTCTGGGTTTGTGCCCTCTGTACCCACATTTTGGGCTCTCCCAGAAATTAAGCCCACTGACAGAGTTGCTTGTTTGGGACTGAGAGGGTCCGAGGTCGGCCCAGTGCACTGTACAGGTGCAGTCTCTGAATGGAGGAGGTCTTTGAAGAGTCAGGGTGCTTAAGCTACCCCGGGATCTGTAGATTTTAGCATTTGTAAGGAGAGTCACATTGTGTTTCCTGGCACAGAAAGATGCATCCTTCAAGTCCCAAGAACATCTGTCACGGCGAACAAGCTCTCTGCTATGCTAAATCTGCCCTTCCTTGTGGAATACGTGCAGCAGAAGTGATCACCGAGGAAGCTTTGCGAAACAGCCAGAACTTTGTGCGTTAGAACTGAATCCTGATGGCTGTGTTCACTTTCCATCAGAGACTGGGTCCCACATGCTGCCCTCCCTGGCTGAAAAGCAAGAGGCTGACAACGCTGGGGTTTCTCCTTGGTTTACACTGCTCTCTTTTTTCTCTTTTTGCCTTGCCAGGTTGCAGGTGATCGCTGATCAACTGGTGGAAAGGTTCGTGGCCTCCGGCCTGATGCTTAAAGAATGGGATAGAGTGAAACTGCATGCTACAGTCATGAACACTCTCTTCAGGAAAGATCCAAGCGGTGGGTATCTGTCATCCTTACTGATAAATGCATTTAAAGTAGTACCTTTGAACAGGAAATGCTTTTCTTGGCTTTTTCTTTTTTTTTTTTTAATTTTGTGATTTTTCTTAATCTCAAATACCCACAAAGTTGTGGGGGGTTGTCACTAAATAAAACCCAGAAGAAAATGAAAAAGTGGTCAGCAGAGCTGGAGAAGGCAGACATGCTTTGAGCACTTTCTGGATCTTTTCTAAGATTCTTCGTCACAGCTTCAGAAACACTGTCGCCCAGTAGCACTCGTAAGATCTGGGCCAGAGGGGAATGTGTTCAAGTACCATGTGAGGTCTTGGACTCTCTGCGCACCAACATTAAATTGAAATTCAGTAACAACTTGACGTGCTGTGCTGATCTTTAAACAAGACGAAAACGGGGTCCTTTTTGGTCAAGTTAAAGATTGCTTGTTGGTTTAGGAACGTGATTCCAGCGTCTTTCTCATTAAATCAGATTTGAGGCTGAATGTGAGCTATTACAGAGCGTATAGCGTCTGCTGCCTCTGCCAAAAGATTGTCTGCTTTAGCAGTCTGTAGCATCGTTCTTATCGCGTTACTTTATGAAGCAGCCTCAGATGCATTGCCTTTAGGGAGGGGCAGTATATTACAGCCTTGTTCTCCCTGTGCAAACGCACACATGCTCTGGCGCTGGCGTGTAGTTTGCAAGCCTTAACAGCAATGCTGTTAAGCTTTCTCATAGGTTTCTCTGGTGTAGCGGCCTCTGTGCAGTGCCGATAGGTGACGTCGAGCATTCTCCAGTTACTGATTCTGTGAGTCTCTGTGTGGACAGGGATAACAGCAGATGGTTTGTGTTACGGTTTTCTGTGCACCCAGCAGCAGGCTTTGGGGATGACTGCTACTAAAGTCAGATAAGCATACTCAGGGCGGGGGGGAGGGGTAGAAACCCTGAAAAGATGGTGCTTAGCTCTCTCAAATTGTCTGAAAATTGGTGAAAATGTAAGCCCGAAGTGCTGATGTGGCTCTCTGTTAGGGGAGGCATCTGGCATTACGAGTCTATATTCTGAACAGCCCCATGAGGCATGTGAGGCATTCAGACACAATGGTGAGCGCATTACACAGATAGCCATAGAAGTTGCTTTATATTCAATACGGGATTTGAATAGCGTGCTAGGTGTGAGTGGGACTTCATAGTTAATGCTGGAGATGAAAAAGAAATATTGAATATATTCGCCGAGCGAGGCAGAGGTCCTGTGGAAAGAACAGATCATGTACTTAGGGATTATATAAAAATCCAGGCAAGCTCTGGGGAAATGGATCTAAGACGTAGGCATTTGGCAGTTCCTGTAGACCTAGGTTGCTATTCTTAATGTCTGTGTGTGGCTGCATGCCCACCCCACAGAAGCACACACACCACATGTATGTGCTTCCTGGAGCAGGCAGCAGGGGTTCGTATAGGTGCTGTCTGGATCGCGCCTGGCGTTGTGCTGGCATGCTTGGTCTGGTATTTGGTGCGGTTCCAGGAAATGCAAGTGCTAGCAATGCTGACTCTCACCCTGGCAGGATGTGGGATTAAAATCAAGCAGAGAGAGCAGATGTGTTGCGCTGAGGCATCAGCCCTACAGAATCACTCTAGTAGTTGCTAGGAGGTAGGGCCTTTCCTCCAGGTAACATAGGTGATCCCGCTAGAGGCACCAATTCCTGTGTATTCAGCCTTGAAAGTGGAAGTGTTTTTGCACTAAGAACTGGACAAATATGGTTTATTAGGTGGCAGCTGACTTTGGGGAGGGAGAGAGTGGGGTGGTGAAGTACAGCACACGCAGTTCTCCCATCTGAAGCTCATTCTGGTGGTGGCTTTTCTCTTTACAGCTGAAGAGCAAAACAACGCGATGACTGGTAAATCATCTTTCAAGGAACGGGAGTCATTTAATGGCCGAAATATCCTCAAGGTCAGTACGAAACAATTAGGGAAGTAGAGTCAGCTGTGGATATTGTATAGCCAAAAGAGGTGAAACACCTCTTCAAGGCTGCTTTTGTCTTAGGCTTATGGGATCTCCCAGTGGGGAGGAAATCTGTTTAGAAAATAAACAATCCAGATCACTTGTAATTGGGAGCATTACAGTATTTAACAGAAGCGTTCTTAAAGCTGGTTAGGCTCAGATCAGGAGTGTGTAGCACGAATGCTAAGTGGGTGTTCGTGTTGTCGTTTACTTCACTCGTGTTTTACCCTGGAGACTCAGGCTCGTGTCGATTCTTAGCCCACCATAAAGGAGTACTTTGTTGCTCTTGTTCTACTCACTCATATATATTTATGAAACTAAATCCGACTGCCGTTTCACTTACTCTTTTCTTCTTTTTTTTTTTTTTTTTTAAATCTCTGCTATCGATTTGCATGGTTTTGCTCTAGAAAAATAGCAGATAGCACTGGGGAGTCCCACCAGCCAGGATCTGAGGGCTTTGGCAGTGATCAGAGGGTAGGCAGCGAGATCCCCCAGACTGTGGAGGTGGGTAAGGCTTGAAGGGGAACATCCTGCAGCCTCCCAGCCTTTGCCCGCCAGGCTTGAGACTGCAGGCAGCCTGTGCCGCTCGTCCAGATGGCAGTGTCAGACTGATGCTGTGGTGCTTGGCCCCTGCAAGTATCCAGAGAGAAAAAGACAAGCATGGAGAAGTAGAAACGGAAAACAGCACCGGGTTGTAAGCAAATTTGCAATCCTCATTGTGTGAGGGGATTTGTTGCAGGCAGCTATGATAAGAGGGAGACAGGACAATGCATGAATACATTTGGGAACTGATAGAAGATATTCTGGCAACAAAGAGACATAGGAGAGGATGTAGGCTGGGTGGGAGTTGCACAGCCCAGAAGGACTTTAGGGCACCAGAGGAGGGAAAGGCTGCGCTTTATTTGTTTTTACAGTTTGGCTGTATAATGTATTAGGCACTGAATGCACAGGGATGCGAAGGCAGGGAGTGGAACTGATTGATCTCCTCCACACAGAGGACAAAGGGACAAAATTAGGTTAAGCTCTCATTGTCCTCAAACGGTCTGTGCAAGTGCGGTGTCATGACTCAGCATCGCCACATGTTGAGTGTTCGGTGTGAGGCTGCAGCGTTGCAAACTGAAACAGGAAAGCCACAATCGCGGTCTTTTTCTTAATGCGATCTGTGAGGTTTGGTTAGCTACCAGTCTCTGCGAGCTGGGATCCTGAAAGGGAAGGTGGTGCCTGCAGGGACTCCGCTTTCAAGGCGTACGCTCACAATTCGCTTTGCCCTTTGCTCCTTTCTCTTGCCTCTGTTAAACTTATCCTCAGACTTTAGAGAGACGTAAAATCAAGCTGTCGGTCTTTAATGCTCCTCATCCAAAAACATTTGCGATTGGGAAGGCATTAACGATGCTCCCTCTACTGGTCACACCATTTGTGGGCTGCGCTGCGGGGGCTGAGGATCTGTGGGCCTTGTGGTGTGCAGCGCTTGGAAATGCAACTGCCCTACCTCAGATGGCTACTTCTTATTCTTGATGCTCTCTGAAATATGAGCTGATGCATTTTTAAAGCTCCTAATTGATTTTGTACTGATGTAGCCAAAAGAGCTGCTGGCTGTTTGGACTGTTGATAATTACTTCAAAGCATGTCTTGCCGCAAGAAATGTCATCCTTCTCCCCCACCTCCACTACATTTCCTAACCTGCTTGCTTCGTATTTCCCTTTGGTCTCCCACGTGCCTGCAGCAGAACGCCCGTTGGCATTAATTAATTACATGAGTCATAAATAGCTCCAGGCTTCTTACCAGAGGAGCCCAGCCTCAGCCAGCCACTGATGCATTCTAGCATGACCTTGCAAGGATGCGCCAGTTCCCTCCAGCCCCCTTTTTATATACATTATTTATCTTCTGCTCAGGGAGGCTGCCCTCTCGCAAAGTGGCTTCATTAACTTTTGCAATAGGATCTAAACGACGGGCTGTTAATGAATATGGCTGCAGTTAGGCAGGCTGGCTTGCGGGCATCGTCCCCTTGTAGGTAGAGCGTTGTGCCACGCGTGTGTTTCCAGGCGGTGGGACTTTGCGATACCTGTGTTGGGTGGCGGTGTTCCCTCTTGGAAAGCCGACAAAGCACAGCTACTGGTAGGAGGGCATCAAGTTGGAAAACTTGGGTTTCGTTGCTCTCGTTCCTGTTGTGCAGCTACGACCGGTGCTGTGGGGCCAAAGGCTTTGCCTGGTGGAGGCCAGGACCTGAGCTATCGGAGTGTAGAGCACGATGGAGACACCTTGGTTCTGCTGTTCCAGTCTGAGGCTCCCCCGTGGTCAGAGCTGGTGTGTGTGTGTGTGTGCAGATGTGCTGGCAGCACATGTTTGCTGATAGCATGTCTGCGTTACCCCAGGCTCCAGCTGGTATTTTGCTTTCAGCAGAACTAATCGGAATTTTATTTAATAATCCTTTGTTCTACCCGTTCCGCAGAGTTAAACATACACTCCTATTTGTGCTAATAAATGGTTGTGCAGGCCGATACCTTCCCACACTGCTCAGAAAATAGATTCTGTAGGATGAGTTGCATTTGAGAGTTTAAATTACTTTTGTCTTGAAGGATATCCATGAAAAAGGCTCCCTGGCCTAGCTGGTGCTGAAAGCCCAAGGGAATGCATGACCCAACAGCTGAGTGATTTGTGTCTCCCTAGCCAGACACTTTAGCATCGTGTTTGTCTCATCTAGTCCCAGGAAGCTGGGGATGCTTTATGAACTGCTTCATATGGAGCAGTATGTATTTCTTCTAGGGTGGCTAGCAGCTAGCTGATCTGCTCCTTTGAACATCCGAATCACGTACCGAAGTCTTGCTCCAGTCGGAAACAAAAGTGGATCATTTCTTGGAGAGCAGAGGGAAGGGGCAGCAATTCACAGCTGAAAGACAGCGGCAGCTCCTTCCCTGTGAGAGAAAGGTCAGGCCGGGTGGGCGGTCAGGCCTCGGGGAGATGCCAGTTTGGCAGCCCCTCCTGCATTGCCCCCCTCTGTGTCCTCCCGGGCGGTGGCTGTGTGCCCTGCGTCGCAGCTGGCCAAGCGGCACAGCCCTGGCACAGAGGCGGCTGGGGCAGCTGCCTGCATCTCTGGAGATGAGGCTTGGCTGCCTCCGGGCTTTTATTTATTTCACCGAGTGAAAAAACTAAGGCTGCAGTGAATAAATAAAAATGCAAAGAAATGCGAAGGTACCACCTGGCCAAAATATTCTGTTTTACTTTTAAAGGAAAGCAAGGCTTACAGCAGGAAGAAAACCACCTGGGTTAAAATGGAATTATTTTTCCCTTGAGGTCTGAGGAATAAAAGGGTGGCCTTTGCCGCATTCAAACAAGAGGGAAGCAAATTTTGAGTACAGAAAATGATGAACCCTGCCACTTAGCACAGATCTGGGCATTAACAGCTTCCAAGATTAAATATTGAGGGAACAGCTACTGAGATACCACAGCGGAAAGCTGCACATCTTGTGTCTTAGGGCATTAGGGGAGACTTTAAGCTGGGATGCAAGACTGGGAACCGGATCAGTCGGGGCGGTGACACATGCAGCCGTGCCCTGGTCCAGCAGCAGGAGCAGGGCATCCGGGCGGCAGAGCTGCTCTGGGAGTGCTTCTAGGTCGGACAAGGTATAATTTGATGAGGTTCTTTCTCTTTTGAAGCCTGCATAAGGGTATTAAATTATGGGACCATATCTGCTTTCACTTGGAGCAGAGGGAGAGTGTATTTACTGACTGATATACCAGGGCCAGTGGAGAGTCGATCATAGCAAACAAATCTGGTGGTGTTCTCTGTTATCGTTTTTATCTTGCTGGGTGAGAATAGTGCAGTGGCTGGAGTGTGTAATAATTCAGTTTAAGACATTTGATGCAGTGCCGTATAGAGAGATACAATGAAAAAGAAAAATCTTGTCCTGGATAAACCTCCTCACTCCTCAAAATACCCCAAACCCACCAAGCACTAAAATTTAACATCTGAACCCTGTGTAGAGCCACCGTGACCAACTCCACTTGCAAGATGAGGAGTACTTCTCGTGTTCTGCAGCTATCGGTACCCAGGCCTTTTCTGTGTAACTTTTGTTAGTGAATTTAAGGGGACAGAGCCTTTTCCTGGTGTATTTTTAAGCTGAGGTGAAGTTAAAAGGGCCAAAGAATCGGTGTTAAGTGAGGATAAAGACTGCCTGGTATTCAGAAAGGGTAAGAACATCGCTTTCCTCAGCGAGGTGATAAAGGTATATATCCCAAGTAGGACTGGCAGTTGGAACAAGTACCTGACGGGAGGTGGCTGCTCGGAAAGTTTAGAGTTAAAAATACCAAACAAAAATCCACTGGGGTGAGAACAGACTGAATAAGAGATTGTGGTGCAACATCACTGTATCAGAAATAAGCCAGTGCTTTCCTCATCTCGGCTTTACAGAAGAATCAAAAGCAGAAATGAAAGGCTGTAATGCTGCTTTGCAGAGGAGAGGATTTTTGCCTTCAGTTCTGATCCTGCCATTATCGAGGGATACTGAAACGATCGAGGGGGCTCAGCAGCGTGCAATTAGAGCAACAGTGGGATGGGAGGATGTGACAGTTGAGCAGATGAGACTGGAGATCAACGTTTGTATGATCTTGGGGAAAAAAGGAGATTAAATTGGGGTTGCCATGAAAATGCTTTCCTACGAGTGATATTCTTCAGGAAAAAAAAAGGCTTATTCGCATTATTCGCGTTCGATGAAATGGGAATCTGAAGTGGCATTTGAAAAAATCAGACTAGACAATGGAGGGAAAATATCTTTGTTGGAGTGTTTGGGCCCTGGAGCAGAGCAACGAGGCAGCGTTGGAGGTATTGAGACGCCGCACTGAGGAGAACGCAGCGCAGGGAGCGCAGAAGGTTTGTGCTAACTTGCCCGCATATGACAGAGATCCGTTTGGTGACCTTACCGTAAAAGGGAGAAGCCTCTTTTTTTGCAGAG